TAAATTGTTAAATACCCTGCCTCCACTACATAGGCCTATGTTTGTCACATGTTGATCACCACATTCGAGTTATTATTGGAAAAATGTGTTTATGTACAGTGGTGTGAAAAAGTGTTGGCCCCCTTCCTGATTTCTTATTTTTTTGCATGTTTGTCACACTTTAATGTTTCAGATCATCAAACAAATTTAAATATTAGTCAAAGATAACACAAGTAAACACAACATGAAGTTTTTAAATGAAGGTTTTTATTATTAAGGGAAAACAAAATCCAAAACTACATGGCCCTGTGTGAAGAAGTGTTTGCCCCCCTGTTAAAACTGTGGTTTATCACACCTGAGTTCAATTTCTCTAGCCACACCCAGGCCTGATTACTGCCACACCTGTTCGCAATCAAGAAATCTCTTAAATAGGACCTGCCTGACAAAGTGAAGTAGACCAAAAGATGCTCAAAAGCTAGACATCATGCCGAGATACAAAGAAATTCAGAAATAAATGAGAAAGAAAGTGAAAGAGAAAGAGATCTATCAGTCTGGAAAAGGTTATAAAGCCATTTCTAAAGCTTTGGGACTCCAGCGAACCACAGTGAGAGCCATTATTCACAAATGGCAAAAACATGGAACAGTGGAGAACCTTCCCAGGAGTGGCCGGCCGACCAAAATTACCCCAAGAGCACAGCGACGACTCATCCAAGAGGTCACAAAAGACCCCACAACAACATCCAAAGAACTGCAGGCTACTCAACGGTCTTCTCAATATTAATGTGTTCAAGCAAACAGCGGAGATGAAAACAAACTGCATCGCATTTCATCTGAAGCTCACGTCTCCCTCGGAGCGACTCGATGAAGATACAGTGAATTAAATCGTCCCTGCTGACTCACTCGCGCATGAAACCCTCGGGCTCATTCACCACCGCCACACATTTCACTGCGTGATGATCTGCAAAGAGCTTGTGCTTGTGAGAGAGGAAGAGCAAGTCTCATCCTTCACAACTCAAAGCAACAGCAATAAAAAGGAAGCAGAGGAATGTCTTTTGTGCAGTGTTGGTCTCTGATTCCTATAACACTGCAAACATGAGATGGGCCACAGTGAGACTCTGGTCACATGCGCTGCAATGCATACTGGGAGAAATTCACTGCAAATGAAGTTAAATGTGAGGAAATGTGTTGAGTGGCTATTTTTATTGGCAGCCTTAAGCATAAACAAAGCCTAGACATGATATCTACAAAAAAGCAAAATACTGTTAATCGGAGTCTATTCTATGAAAATTCTACACTGGCAGATCTCCATGTTTTACGTTTAAACAAAATACACTCACATTTCAGATCAAATTTAACTCATTTTAAGGGAACTAAAAAGAAAGACAAAGACTCATTA